TATGGGGTTTCTTCACTGGCAGAATTGGAGTATTGTACGGTGAGCAACAGGGCCGAATGAGTCCAGATTGAAGGAACCTTTTCAATACTGGCTCAATTCCTCTCAAGGCCTCCTCCCTTAAGGGGTATTGTTTCCTTCTCGGGGTTTTGCTCCCCTCTATCACTACTATCTTTACAGGCTCCGCATTTTTTGCACGTCCTGGGGTTCCATCAGCCCATACCCCTTTATTTACTCTTTCAACAATTTCTGGAGGTAAAATTTCACTTTTTGGTGGAGCATCTTGAGTAAGCAACATCTGGAACCGCAGAGCATGCTCTGGAGGAACCTGTAGGTGAAGCCTCTGATTTTTGGGTGAGAATATAATTCGTGCATTGAGCTTACTTAAAAGGTCACGACCAAGGAGAGGGATTGGACACTCTTCCATGTACAGGAAGCTGTGCTGGAGCTGTGTGGTGCCTAGCCGGCACTCCAAAGGTTGCAGGAAGGGTGTCTGTTGTGACTTCCCTGTAACCCCAATGACTGCTGCAGTCTTTTTGCTCATTTTAGTTAATTTCGAATTCAAAACTGAGTATGTTGCTCCAGTGTCCACCAAGAAATCAATCAGGCGATCCCCCACAGCGAGGGTTACCCGGGGCTCCGAGGGGGTTATTTTGATGGGTTTAAGATCTAGTGGAACCCCTGGGCACCCCTATTCTTCATCTGAACCTTCTCCATGAACTATCATTTGTCTCCTTTCCTCCACACTTGGCTCCCGATTCCTTCTACTCTGTCTATATTCCCTCCTATCTTCACCTGAGACCCTACTCTGTGCTATCACTGGTCTCCTGTCCTCTGTGCTGGGCTCTCGATTCCTTCCCCGTCCGTATTCCCTATCATCATCTGAGCCTCTAGTCTGTGCTGACATCTGTCTTCTTTCCTCTCTCCTTGGTTCCTGGTTCTGTGTACTCCTCCTATATTCCCTCCTGTAACCCCTACGTGAATCATCCTGTCGTGGTGTCCTCGGTCTTCTATCCTGCCCTCTGGAATTACTGCGTCTGCCTCTGCCCTGTAACCTGGGACAACTGTCCTTCCAATGTCCCTCTTCCCTACAGAAAGCACACTGATCTCTTCCTAGGGGTTCACGTCTCTGTCCATTACTGTTTTCCCGATACCCTGGCCTGTGCTCTCTTTGTACAAAAACAGTCGCAGGTTTCGGTCTCCTGTCCTCTCTCCTGTTCTCTCTATTATTATAAACCTTAAATTCTAAGTCCACTACCTGGGACGGACTCATTTCTGTGACGCCGTCTACCCTTGCTAACTTTCTCCTTGTGTCTGGAGCACTATTTGTGGTGAACGCCACAGTGAGCACACGAGCATTTTCTGGGGCATCTGGATTTAAATCCGTGTGGTCTGTATACGTCTGAATAATCCTCTCAAGGAATTCTGATGGATCCTCATTAGCCCCTTGTGTAAGTTCCAATATTTTGTTAAAATTTTTTTGTTTGGGGATTCCCTGCTCCAGTCCTGCCAATAAACATTTTTTATAGAGATCCAACTTCGCCAGTCCTCCATTGTTGGGGTCCCATTGAGGATCTACCTCTGGGACAGCAATCTCTGGCTCTGGGTTTTGGCTATCCTGTTGGTGGAGACGTGCAGCCTCTTCCCTGGCTTTCCTCACTACTATCCTCTGCTCATCTAGACCTAGTAAAACATGTAACATCATCTGTATATCTGCCCAGTTAGGGCGGTGGGAGAGAAAAATGGAGGCAAACAAGTTCGCCATCCTCTTAGGAGCCTGCCGATACGAGGGAACAGAGTTCCTCCAAGTTAGGAGGTCCCCGATGCTAAAAGGATGGTGCAACCAAAAGTACCCAGCAGGTTTCCCCTCTTCATTCACGCCACCTATCGGCAGCTGGCGAAGAGGAAACTGTCCTGCCACAGAGCGGTCGTTACTGCCAAAATGGGTGCCGCTCCCAGTGTGGGGAGGAGACGCCATGATAACTACCTCCCTGGAGGGCAATGGAGGCTGTGAAGCCTCAGGAATCTGTGCGGGAGGGGCCTCAGGAGGGGCCTGGTCACGTGGTGAAGGCCCTAGTCCTGAAGCCTCAGGAGTCTGTGCGGGAGGGGCCACTTCACGTGGAGAAGGCCTTTGTCCCGAGGAGTTCAAGGTATTTAGCATATGAATCTCTTCCTGTTCTTCTAAGTCTGCCCTACTGCAGTCCTCATGGGAAGGAGAACATTTATCTCTTCTCTGCACCATTATTCTAGCCTTTTTCTGCGTCATATCCCATTCATGGAGGGCGGCCTGTATCTGGTCCTGCACACTTTTAAAGGCGGACTCAAAAACGTTACGATTTTCGTCCCTCACACTGCCAATAGCTGAATCAAAAAACTGATTTTGTCGTTGCACTTGATCCTGCATGCTTTGAAAAGCTGACTCAAAAGTCTGATTTTGTCGTTGCACTTGATGCTGCACGCTTTGAAAAGCTGACTCAAAAGCCTGATTTTGTTGTTTCATCGCTAAGTTAAGAGCTTGGATTTGTTGCAGCACATTCTCAGTATGTGAATTACAACCACTACTTCTCATAGAAACAAAAATGTAGCACATGGCGCCTATGCACATTACCAAAAAAACACCTAGAAGCACAGACTGCAAAGGGATGGCTTGTAAACCATTCACATATGTATACAGAATTAAAATCACGTGCCATAAGCTAGGTCTAATCCAATTATTTACACTTATCAAACTGGTGGTAATATTTAATGGAAAAAGGCTACTTAAATTCAAGGCCGGAAAAAAACTGAAAGAACTCAAGTTAGGGATTAAACTGCTGAAGTTCATGGTTGAGGCCGCGTTTGGGTCAAAACCACACCCACAACGGCCGTATGCGCGGGGGGGGGGGGGGGGGGCTGGGGGGGGGGGAACTTTTCAAGACGTGAAACAAAGAGTTTCACTGCGAGTCCTGCAGACCTAATGCGCTTTTATGGTGACCAACGCAAGAAAAATTACTTTGGGCTGGTCAGCCACGGGTGAAACTTGCAAATCACGTTTGGGCGCCAAGCTGTTATAGAGCAACCCCGATATTAAACGGGTTCCTGGCTGTGAGTCCTCACCCGCGCGCTTTAAAGAGACTTTTGAATACTCTACTACAGACACATGCAAAAGGGTTAATAAAAGGTTTATTTACAAGAGAAAAGGAAATAAGGAAAATGTACAACTCAGGGAGAAAATAGGGAAATAGTCTTTAATGCGTCCTACCCGATCCGACGACCTGGAAACCCAAAGTCACTCTCAGAGCTGACCGGACGCTGCTGCTGGCCAAGAGCCCAAAAATGGAGAGCCCCCCAAAGCCCACGTGTCTGCCTTTTGTATCCACCTGGCTGCTTAACCCCACCCTCAGGTCCCAGCCACCTTCCCTTTGGTGGTGATGGGATTTGGAGTTCCCAGTGTCTTTGGCTTTGACCTGGGGTGGGGGTGGAGTCCACAAAGCCTATATGGAATTTGCTTTGGGACATCCTTTTCCCCCTAACAGTTGTAGTCCCAAATGAAACTTTCAGGCGCTCAGTTGTGTTGACTTAAATCAACCGAGGTAGGCACGAGTGAGTGCGTTTATCAAAGAATCAACACCGAGTATTCAAGCTGGGCTACAGCTTCCAGATAGCTCTGGGGAAGCTACCTGCCGCGGACCAGCACAGCAGTAGACGATGAGGCCACTTCAGGGTTGAGAGAAGCGTGCAGGGTGGTCAGGGCGTCGGTGAAAGAAATGACAGACACACTTCAAGAGTGAAAATCTGACTGTAATTTTCTTTGAGTTTGTGACCAGTATATATGTTTTCCAAAAGCACAGGAACAACGAATATCAATGAAATCAGCTTGCTCATGGGCTCAGCCTATCACCTTCAGGGCAGTGATCTACATAACAAGCAATGACCTTTATAGAAGAAAGAAGGAAGTTTAGAAAGACAATAAGGGGATTAAAGTTTGTAGTTCTAGAAAGACGGGATAAGGTTTTTTAGCATTCTTGTAGTGGTTCCTGGTGGTCGTTATCTTTTGATAAGCTTCTGTCTTTTCAGGGAACTTCGCTGTACTTCCTCTGCTTCAGGGTGTTTTGCTGTTCCCGCCCCTGCGCGCTGGTTGCCCAGCCAGACCTAGGGACCGTGGCGAAAGCCATTCCTAAAGGTCACTGCAGGGGGAGGTGCAGCAGGTATGTCTTCAGAGGGTTTTGCTGCTCTCCCCCTGCATGCTGGTTGCCCAGCCGGACCTAGGGACGGTTAACCCTAAAGGTCACTGCAGGGGGAGGTGCAGCAGCTACCCCATCTGAGCCTCACCATATAAGCCCATTTGCTTACTTGAAAATAAATCACAATTACTCTTTGGAGTAGATAACATGAAAACTATAGCACATAGTTTCATCACCTAAAAGACAGATGAGATGTCTGTCTTTTGATTTACTGAGATGAAAACAAAGCTCCCATTTTGAGTAATGTTCTACATGTTACTATTTTTTTTTAACGATTTGTTTGTTTATTTATACAAGCACTGGGTACAGTGAGAAGCGCGGGAGGGTGAGAGAATTCACCAGAGCCAGAGCAGGGAGCAGAGCAGGCAGAAGGACCGAAGCACACTGCTGAGGGGAGCAGTGGGCGGCAGGAGAGGTCTGCGCGCCATGTGGGACCCTCCTCTGGTGGCAGGGGAGCAGCCAGGGATCGAACCAGTGCTGCAGAGGCTGCAGGCAGCTTCGCAACCCAGCGCTCAACCGCTGCGCCACTGGGGAGGCCCAACATGTTACTCTTTCTTCAAAGTGAAACTGGAATAGGGCAAACTTTCAGATGTTATATTTCATGGCGGAGGGAACAGAGGCCCAAAGGGGTTAGGTGACACATTTATTTAAATTAACAGATCCTGAAATCTCCTAATTCAAACTCGTAAGCTAACCTAGGTTTCCTCCTTGCCTGTCCTAGAAAACACTTTACTGACAAATATTTGTAATAATGTTACAAAAGACTGTTGAATATTCTCAATTATATCTTTATTAACAAAAGATAAATAGAATACAAAACAGACACCAATGTCAGACCTTCTGTTGAACAACCCTCTCTCAAGAATATAGAAACAAGTTTTTCACATTCTTAAAGTGGCTAAAATTAGATCTATTTATACTGCTGTTGTAGTTTCACACCAGTCTGACTCTAGATGCCACGTATATCCCTATTACTTGAGAGTTTGATTCAGTTACTCCTGATCAGCACCATCTCTGAGGTGCTAACTTACTGCAGAATGCTACTGATTCTTCCCAGCTCAGTAAAGTCAGAGTGCTGTTCAGTCAATGTTCTCACAGCAACAGGCTTCTTCACTAACTCACTAACTTCACCACTCTTGCTGTTAGTATTAGCTTCACAAAGTTCTTAGGAGAGAGGTCTGGGAATCATGACAATCTCAGTCACTAACAGCCCTACTAGCTAGCCTTATAATTCTTTGAAGAAAATTTCAACTTCAGATTTTGCTTTTTGCAAATTTTATAAACAAGTTTTGAAAGATTAGGTAGAATGGACATTCCAAAATCTAAAATTCATGACTGTTAAGTAAAGGCAATCAATGATAACAACAAATACTATTACAAATAATATCCTCTATCATAAAAGGTTTTCTGTGTATAATGGCTCATGGTCAAAGACCTTGCACTAGTTTGTCAAGGATGAGATTATTTTTTCATTCAAAGGCTAACACAATTCTGGACATAAGGTACAAGGGAAAAAATAAATATCAAAATTTTATAGCCAAGTGAAAACTGAAATTATTAATACACAGCTGGACACAGGATAAAGTTAGTCACATATGTTGTTAATTTTCCTTTTAGTAACCCAAAGCCCAAGACAATAATTTTTCTATCTTCAGGCCAGGAAATCCTTAGAAAATAGAAAAAAAAAAGATTATCAAATAACTTCAATTATAGTTATTAGCAAAAAAAAAATTCTGGTTTTGAGAAAGAGTAATCAGCCTTCAAACATGTGGTAAACCTGTATAAAGGGCCATAAAAATAGAGGAAATGAAATTTGAGACTTAAAATAGAGAAGATACTCTTGACAGATAGAGAGCTGAGCCATCTTTGCATATCACTAATGGAAAACTGGAAAGAAAATCTTAATCTGAACTTAATGTACCTCCTCCTCTTTGTTTTCCTTGTTTGTTCAAGTGTTGAGGAATAAATTTACCATGAGACTTCTGGAAGCTTTATTAAAGTCTGGTAGCGTGAAGTATAGATATGGATTTTTCTATCGATAGTCTTCAAGAGAAAGGAGCTGAAAAGAATATGCTGGCTGTGTCTTCCTGGATGCCTGTCTATGACCAGTCACTACTGTCCCAGGAAGGAGGCCATGGGGTCATCAGGCCTTTGACGTTTCATTCTATAGGCCTCCATTTCCTCTTCAGTAGGTTCCCGAGCTTCATATATGCTATTGTAAGGCCGCTTCCTCTCATCAATCTGCATGATCTCCTTGACATGAAGAAGGCGGGCCTCCTCTGCATTCAGTGCCTGCAGTGAGAAGAAGTTATGAGTGCCACAGCCCAGCAGCAGCTCTCTACTGATCCCAAGTGGCAGAGCACCAAAAGGTGCCCTGGATATAAAGTGCTATATCAAAACCCACATTTCTGAAAGAGCTTGGGAGTCAGCTCTTCCACTATCAAGTACAACCAGTCGCTATTTGGCTCATATGACATTTTCAATGTCAGAGAAATTTTATGTAATAAAAAATTTTTAATAAGCTTCAATTTCCTGACGGATGCTTCTGATAGAGACTGCAGCTCTCACTTTTCATAAGGACTCGCTGAAACTTACAAATTATAGAGTTAGAAGGCAATTCTTTCTGGGTCACATTCAATAACTGTAAAATAACAGTTTTATCAAGCATGTTCTTTCTGTGCACTCACAGTTAACACACACACTCCAAGAAGCAGGCAATACTCAGACAGTAAAAAATCTCCATTCACATTCTAGACCTCGTATAGGGTGGCTGGTGCAAATCAATCAGACATTGGGCTCATTTCTTCATTCTTATAGCATATTTGGAAACAAGACTAGATAGATCATTTCCTATGGTCCCTCCAGATAAAGAATACTGTTGTTCTTTTTATTATTTAGACTCTACAAAGTACCTTTTTCAATTTTTCATTTTTCTTTTCTTCATCATCACTATCTGAACTGCTCTTTCGATGCTTCTTCTTCTTCTTCTTTTTCTTCTTTTTCTCTTCTTTTAGCTTTTCCTGATGTATCTGAAGAGGAGGATTGACATGTAGTGATACTGTGAAAACAAAGCTCTAGTGCAAGTTTTGAAGCCCTCCCTCAGACTTAAGAATTCAGGCAAATGACTTCACACTTACCTCCATCAGGGTTTGAGGTTTTTTCACAGATTCTTCTCCAGTTATTTCATTTATAAGACATTCCTCTGAGTTCTGTGGGGAAAAAATGGTATAATCTGACTTGTGTTATCTACAGAAAAGTTAAAATTTGAAACATGAGAAAATTTGAAACACACAGATTTTGACTTAAGAACTTTGATTGCTGTAGATCGGTAAAAACTAGACAACAATTACTTACAGAAATCTCCTTCCCAGCTTCTCCAGTGCAATAGGAATACTTGAAAAAAGAGTGACAGCATTTGTAGCCCCATCGGCCTTCTTTCCAGTAAGATCCCCAGATATGCTAGAGAGAGAGAGATATGTTACTTAAAAAGGGACTGTAAAGTAAGGAATTTGTATTCTGTTGGTAGGAGTATAAAATAATAATTTTAAAAGCAATGTGGGACAACTCCAAGGCCAGTTAACAGGGGAGGGTGGCCCGATTTCAAGCGCAAGAAGCAGGTGTTACAACTGTAATAGTCTATATTCTATTCCCCAAAACTTAAACAGTTTTTAAAAAAGACATCTGGCTTCTCTTGAAAAGCAAGGATTGAGAAAAGTTGGGACCACATTCTGCTTGGCAATGACTGGCTGTTGCTCAGCGCAGACGCCCCTAGTAGACAAGGTCTGTGTCCTCCAGTTTGTACGACTGGCCTGGCTCACTTCACACTTCAAGACAACTGTGATCTGGGAACTTCCGGAGTACGCAAGTGACACTATGTTTTATAAGGTGATGCAATATGAAGTACACTAGCATCCCCCATGAAGTGTTCTTGTCAAAATCTCTGACTTACACCCAATCAAGCCTTTAGATCTAAAGTCTTGTTTATAGGAAATACAAGAGATAGAGGATAAGTTACATGGTGTCATTATGAACCAGTCAAATTCAGAAAGAGACAGTTTACAAGTAGACAATTGGTCCTGAGCCGTTAGTTATTGTCATAAAAATGGAAGAATATGCTGGTGAAAAGACACATGTAACCAAAAACCATCAAAATAAAGTTCAATGGAGTTCAACTCAAAAACAAACATACCAATTGAAAGACATTTTTGGGTATATTTTGGAAAATGTGATTAAGAACTACAGGTTAAATGATATTAAGGTATCAATGTCATTTTTTTAAATTTTTGCAGTGAATAATGGTAACATAGTTATATAGGAGAATATCTACAATCCACAATCTTCCCAGCTTCTCCAGTGCAATAGGAATACTTGAAAAAAGACTGACAGCATTTGTATCCCCATCAGCCACAATCTTTGATTGTGGGAGATAAATGACACAGTGGGTGAAATGTCTTATTTGTTATTTCCAATGTCTCAAACAATAAATATATACCCCTAAAACACACACACATGTATCAGCACGTGTATGTGTACACACACCTTGACAAAGTATATATGAAAATGTAAAAAAATTTGGAACCTAGGTGATTGGGTGTATGGGTGGACATAGTAGTGTTCTTTTACATATTCTTTTGGAAAAAAATATAAAACAAAGTTAAAAAAAGTACAACAATGTTTGCTAATGAAGCTATAATAAAAAAGTACAGCCTAAAGCAAAATGCCAATGAGGACACCAAATGGCTCAACACTGACCGTATGATTGTGGATCTTCACGTCCTCCTCATACTTCGAGCAGGCGACAGCCCGCTCCTGCCCTTTGATGACCGTCCCGTGTCGTGAGTACTCCACATAGTCTTCAGTCTGAGCTAAAAGCAATTCAGCTGGAGGGGCATCCAGGTGTTCTTGGCCACCATACTGAAAGGATATTGAACCTCATTAAATGTATTTTACAAGAAGGATTTGCATTCAAATCTCTACCAAAGAATGTATTTACAATCAGAAAAAGAAGTAGTCTTAATGGGCTTTGTTACACAAAATACTAGTTAAAAAATGCCACCAAATTTTTTATAAGCAAATAAAAGATGTCTCAGTTGCTATTCATCTGTTAAGTGTGGTAGATTAAAAAATAGCCATAGGGCCTCCCTAGTGGCACAAGGGGTTAAGCACCCACACTATGAAGCAATCTGCAGCCTCTGCAGCAGGAGTTCAATCCCCGGCCAGCCAGGGAGCAACCCACATGGTGTGGCAGATCTCTCCTGACTGGCCTGCTGTTCCCCTCAGCAGTGTATTTCAGTCAGTCTGCCTGTTCTGTTCCCCACTCTGTCTCTGGTGACTCCTCTCACCCCCCACATCGCTGGCCTGTACCCCAGCTCTTGTATGCATAAATAAATAAAAATAAATCGTTAAAAAAAAAAATAAGGGCCTCCCCGGTGGCGCAGCGGTTGAGCGCTGGGTTGCGAAGCTGCCCGCAGCCTCTGTGGCGCCGGTTCGATCCCCGGCTGTTCCCCGGCCACCGGAGGAGGGTCCCACATGGCGCGCAGACCTCTCCTGCCGCCCGCTGCTCCCCTTAGCAGTGTGCTTCGGTCCTTCTGCCTGCTCTGCTCCCCACTCTGGCTCTGGTGAATTCTCTCACCCTCCCGCGCTTCTGACTGTACCCAGTGCATGTATAAATAAAAAACAAAACAAAATAAAATAAATAAGTAAAACATGCCTCTATAAAAAAAAATAAATAAATAAAAAATAAAAAAAATTAAAAAAAATAAAATAAAAAATAGCTACAGATTCCTTTTACTTTTGTATGCTTCTCCCCTCAGAAGGTAGTCTGTTTCTCCATCTCTTGAATCTGAATATGACCACATTGTTTGTTCCAGTCTATATGAACCTGGCAGATATTTGGTTGCTAGCCTCTGGTCTCCTGAAAATGCCAGTAAAGAAGCAGGGCTAGCTTCTTGTACCAGAGGAAGAGAGCCCACATGGGAGAGATGAGATGTTTCAGATGGGTCCCTTTCAGCATAGATGAGGGCTACTACCTGCCAGAGAGCAGAATGAAGCCATCCTCCATCAGCCAGACTGAGAGGCACAGGTCCAGATCGGGGGACCCAGATGACAAACAAAATCCTAAGAAATACTGGGTTGTCAACAAAGTCATGACGCATTTTGCCACAAAAAAGTAGGAAAAATATGTCATGACTTTTCTGACAACCCAATAACGTGCTTATTTTAAGTAACTAAGTTTTGTGGTGGTTTTTGTTTTGCTGCCAAAGCTGATTGATACTGAGACTGTATTCCAAATGAATAAGTCAATGAAAAGAAAAGACTACTCCTGGTGGGTTCAAAGGGACTCTTGTGTAATATATTGCAAATGTAAATGGAATGCTTATTAACTGGTAACTTCTCTTTAAGGAATGTTCTTCCTTAGCATTCTGGTCAAATTACCTTTTCTAGGATGCTCTCCTTCTGCTGTTCTTTGAAGTCTTCTTTTTTGACTTTGAAGGACTTATACAACAGCTCTAGTTTTGTGGGATCGGCCTGCAGATGCACTTCAGATCCCTTGTCATAGGCTTCCCAAGCAAACACTAGTGTAATTAAAAACACATTAATGAGTTGTCAGCTATGTTTATTTTACGCTTCTTGAAAATAAGCTTTAAAAAGTGTCCCCGAGTTTCTTGTGGGCTGACATGCAATGCCTTGACAAAGAGCAAACACTTACACTGTGTCTGAGCCATTGAGATGGTATCACCGGTGTATCTAACGAAGTTATCTCCTGCATAGCTCACTCTAAACAAATTAAAAAAAATTGTTTCAGAGATTGACTTAAGTTAATTCTTTTCTGATCCAGTCACAGATGTTGTTCATTTTAGTTCACATTCACTTTATGATTAAAAGTTCCCCTCTGCCACCATGAAATCTGTAACTTGATACTTACTCATCTGGATTCTTTCCTGCATTGGCATAGGGATTCTCTCTCATCGCTCTTGTTTTGGGATCATAGTAAGCAGAATTTGGATCTAAGTTCCGCAAATACTAGAAGGGAAAAACATTTTAAGATGGCATGAATGTTTACTTCCATCAAAAAAGATTTCAGTAGACTAGCAGGAGGAGTTGATCATGACCTATTCAATGTGTGGGTACGTATCTGGGGTACAAATGAAGAGTAAAAAACAGAATCACACTGAATGGCGGAAAGCCTGACTATATTACCCATTACTAACTGCCCAGATATCAGATGAGCAGATAAAATTCAGTATGGGAAGACAAATATTTTTCAACTATGTATGTTAAGTCGGCAAGACTTACTTTTGCAATGTCTTCTCGAATCCTGAGATTTCGGACAGTAATTCGTCTCTTAGAGTCAAAGTTCTGGCCGGGCATGTCAATATCATCTGCATATTTATCTTCATCCTCATCTTCACTATTATGATCTTTTTCCTGAAGGAGAGTCAGAAAGGGGGAAAAATTGTAGGAAAAAAAGAACAAGCAGCTCCTACTCCTGTTGCCCATTCCTTTAACTAACCCTTATTTATTTGTATTCTTTAAAGCTATTACTGTTAGCATTATTGTTAATTATGTGATTACTACTACTGGTCACCGGAAGTTAAAAATAGGGCAAATATTATTACCGCCTGAGAATTTGGCTCCTCTTCTCCCCACTGGTGTTTTGGAGAATTCTGCATTATGAAAAAAGGAAAAGAACTTATAATTTTATTCTACTGAGTCAACTCATTACTTATACTTTAAAAACCTGTCAAGATAATATAACTTAAATCTAACTGAACAAACTCATATTTCTCACTTGTAACAAGCATTAAAACACCGAGTTCAAGTATGTCATTGTAAATAGTTAATTTTACTAGACTGTCTACAAAGCTAGGAAATGTCTAGAGTTTCCCTTGATATAAAATTATATTCACACAAAAGGAAAGGGAAGATTAAGTTGACCAATGCACCCAATAAAGATTCATCTTATACATGTTCTTCTTCAGGCATACCATTTTCAATAAACTTAACTAGCTTTCTATGAAGTCCAAAAAGAAAATGTTACCAAGATCATGTAAGAAGTATCTTTAAATCTAAAACAGTCTTTGTAGCATTTGGGCAGTGAAGAAATCTACTCGGGTGATACCCCATTGTGCTTACAGACTGAAATCCCCGTCACGAATTCCCCCTTTCTTCATTAACAATTGTCAGGATAGTTTCTAACTTTACATAACACCTAGAGCTAGGACTTCATCATGTCCCTTTAAAAAGATTTTAAAGGTTAAAAAGGATAGCATTAATAAGGGAGACGTGGAAACTTGTGTGCGAGAAAAATATCTATGTTGATAACAGCATACATTTGTGCAACCTTTGTAGATCGTAGCTAAGTGATATGTCATCAAAATTTTATATCCACATATTCACTGCATGAACAAGTATAATTTTATAAATTTATCCCAAGGAAATAATGTAACTTACATAAATATATATATACACACACACACAGAAAATCACAATGTTGTGTATATCCAAAAATAAGGAAAAACTAAAGTAACAACAGATTCTAGTTACACATATCACTGCATTCAGCAACACTGAACAACCATCCAAAATTATTCTAAGATGCAGGAAAGTAAGTATAACTTGCGACTTCTTTGTTAAAGAGAGAAGGGAAAGATGGGAATTATACATTTGTATGCTTGTATTTACACAAGAAACTGAAGGGATTCACAAGAAAAATAACAGGTTTCATGGCAGGTAAGGTTTAGAGAGCGAGTGGATGGAGACAGAGGTGGGAGACTTCTCATTGCATACTTTTCTTAAATTGTTTTGATTTTTGACCATGTGAATTTAGATGAAAGCAAATAATAGTATAGGCCTACATTTAATGACACAGAAAACAAATCCTCAAAAGATGAACCCACTTAAAGACATGCATTATAATTACATACAAATATATGGGAGGGGGGAGGAGTAGGACCCAGAAAGGCCTAGTTCAACATACTAACAACTTAAAACAGGGGATAGTTATTATCTTCTTCATAACTTTCTAATTTTATTTTTCACTGAGTATGTTACTTTGAAAATCAGAAATGTTTTTTAAAAGTAATTTTTGGAAATTTGCCGGTTCAACAAAGGACATTTATATTGCTATCTAGACAGTGACATCTCTATAGTGGAGACTGCTCTACTATAGGTAATCCTAAAATCCAAGTGGGCAAAATTAATTCATTCCCCTACATATATTAAGTATACCTACTGGAAAAAATACACTATATTTACAATAATAGAAATTATGTTAAAAGAAGAGAAACAGGCTCTTTCCTTTTTCCAAAGTTGGCAATAACTAACAGTATCACAACAACTACCAATTAGCAAGGATTTGTCATGTGACATGCATGCTAAGTCTCCTGGAGACTAAATGTTCTTAACCTCTCCTTCAGAAATGATAAATTGAGACTCAAAGAAGTGAACTGATTTTTCTATAACACTTAGTTACTCAGGGGCAGAGCTGGCAGATCTACCTGTTAATTTTTGCTGTGAACCTGCCTGGTAGGGGGCCTCACTAAGCACTTACCTGGTGATTATTTACTTAGTTGTGTTTACTGTGTAATTCATGCTTACTAAGAGGGCCTTTGCAGCAATTTAAGCTAGAAAACTCCAAATGTTTATGATTTGTGCCATGAATTTGTCAAAAAGAAACTTTCACAATTCTGGCCTCCCCGGTGGCACGGTGGTTGAGTTATGGGTTGCGAAGCTGCCCGCAGCCTCTGCAGCGCCGGTTTGACCCCCGGCTGCTCCCCGGCCACCAGAGGAGGGTCCCACATAGCGCACAGACTTCTCCTGCTACCCGCTGCTCCCCTCAGCAGTGTGCTTCGGTCCTTCTGCCTGCTCTGCTCCCCCCTCTGGCTCTGATGAATTCTCTCGCCCTCCCGCGCTTCTGACTGTACCCAGTGCTTGTATAAATAAATAAATAAATCTTTAAAAAAAAAAAAGAAACTTTCACAATTCTAATAAGCATAATATACTTTTACTATTAAGTTGATATGACTTAAAAAAAAAGATGAAAATTGGCTGCCATATATCTTTTTAAGTATAATTTTTTTTTGCCCAGTTATAAAATAATTACATGTTTATTATGGAAAAAGTGGGAAATACTAACAATATAGACTGAAAAGAAAAATTCATTAATCTACACTGAATGAGAAATGGTGTTCTGGTCTTTTTACTGTGTCACCAGATTATATTGTAATGACACATGAAAAAAATGTCTAAGTATTAACCAGTTTTGTTACAGTGTTTTTATTAAAACCACTTTAAGAGTTATGCAACTTTCTATCATCTCACAGGATAGCTTACTTCACCAATTCTCTATTCCTTCACATTTATTTCAAATTCTTGCTAGTGTAAAAAGTGCTGCAATGAACTATCTGTGCACGTTAGTTATTTTTAATATTGAAAAATCTTCTAGGAAGGATGGATGCAGTATTTAAATTCAGAAAAGACATACAAAAAATTTATGGCAATAATCTTTCCAAAATGATTGCACACATTTTAATATTTAGGAATAATATAAAAGTTTCAGTTTTAACTCTTTCCTCTCAAATATACTTCTCTCTCCCTAAAATCTTTTCTAACTAGAAAGATATAAAATAAATTCCAGTTTCAATTTTCATTTTTGGCTCACTAAGAGTTTGAAATTTTTTTTGTGATCAGTTTTATTACTTACAGCTTGTTCCACTAATTTTCCTGAGGCTAATTCTTCTTGGAGTTTCTGGGCCTTCAGTGTTCGCTTTGCCTAACAAAAAAGAAACATTTGAAATTTACTTACGACACTCAAGTGAACATTTAATTTTTATATATTTAAAATGAGTTGGCTGGGTCTCCCTGGTGGCGGAAGGGGTTAAACACCACACTATGAAGCAGTGCGTGGCCTCTGCAGCACAAGTTCGATCCCCAGCCAGCCAGCCAGGAACCCCCATGGCAAGGCAGACCTCTCCTGTCTCGTCTGCTATTCCCCTCAGCAGTGTATTTCAGTCAGTCTGCCTGTTCTGCTCCCCATTTCTGTCTCTGGTGAATCCTCTTACCCCCTGCATTTCTGGCCCGTACCCCAGCTCCTGTATGCATAAATAAATATTTAAAAAAATAAAATGAGTTGGTTATTGTTTTCAGAAAAGTTCTCTGGATAAAGTCTTATCTTTGTGATTTCTAATTGCTTGAGAGTCAGAAATCACCAGTGGTGAAATGCACAGCAAGCCCTCTCCCAAAGGGATGGTGGGCTCCAGATGACTGATTCTTGCCAAACAGGGCCAGGATTAATATAGGTAATTGTTCAAGAAAAGATGAAATTCAGATTTTTACATGAATTCCCATGATTTTTAAATGCTGCCTTTACTTAAAAATAAAAAGACAATGTGACTACAGTTTTTAAGGAATGGAGATAAATAGGTGAGGTTGAATTAAAATGCAATTTTCTGAAACAAGTTATCCTATTCCCTTTCTACTACCCCTCAAACACTATGTGAGATGAGTATAAAATAGGCCCATGAACAAGATATAGTCTAGGGCCCCAACTTCAAATCTTCAAAAAGCTAAAAATTATGAATACTGTTCTCTTTTCATGCCTTCAGTATCTTTTGCAACCTAAGTCAGGGAGTAAAGGGCAATACAAGAATCAAGTAAGAAGAAAATGCTACCAAGCAGGGATAGCACACTATTTCACTAGTCCATTAAGCTTACTACCACTGCAATAAAAAAAAAAAGCCAACATTTTTACACTACTGAAGACTTAAAAAATAGGACTGCTAAATTAGAGCACAGCAAAATGTACATTCTTTAAGGACAGTAGGGGAAAGGAGGGACAGGGCATTTTGCTTACCAGATCCACTTTGGCATATTCTTCTACAATTTTCATGTGTTCTTCTGGATTGTAGCCATTCCACCGATCCCTCTTCCCATCATAGTCAAACGTCAGTTGAGGCTGGACATGTTCATCTGGAGCTATATTAGTACCTGTAAATTTTGCTCCAACTCGCCTAGGTCTCTGAAAAGTAGAGTAATATTAAATCTTTCCTAAATACCTGTATCCCAGTGGAAATTTTCATATACCCTATACAGAGCGAGCATGAACATAATGTGGGACTGTATGTCTACTGAAAATCAAGTCACTCTATCAGCAGAACATTTTGATGGGGGTATACTAATTTCACTCAAATTAATTTTTAATTAACTTGTACCACAATTTAGCGAGTTTTAGAAAAACAGGTTAAGCTCTCTGACAACAGTTTTCAAAATTCTCAAAGGGGGACTTACCTCAAAGCAGTCTTTCTTTTTGTGTGTCATAGCACCACAATTTTCACATGCTCCTTTGCGGTATTTAGTAGTTATGGAATTCTAGAAATGAATATAAGTAAAAACAAAGAGAATGTTTTATATATTTAAATAAGTTAGAAATAACTTCCAGAAGCTAGGAAAAGAACAACAGATTTTTACAGCAGACACAAGGAAGATAATAAAAATAAAAGTAATAAGGTAAATCGAAAAAAATAGTACATTAAATAAATGAAGTCCTGCTTAGAAGATATCAAGAAAAGAGACAAACATTAGCTAACCCAATCAAGTAAAATAAGGACTTTGGATCAATTTCCACAAAGAGATTCATCAAGGTACTGTTCCACAAAGAATGCAATGAGTGACCGAGTGTTTCCCAAGTGAACTCAACTAGTCTTTTAGAGAACAGGTAGTATCAATGCTGTTCCAAACTGAAAGAGACAAAAAAGACACAACTATATGGAAGACATGAACCTGGACTAACTTCTCAGGACTGGAAAATATTGGGACAAATGAAAAAACTGTATGTGGACAATAGATGAAAGTATGGAATTGATACTAAATTTCCTGAATTTGATAACTGTACTAGGGTTTTGTTACAGAATAGCGTTATTATTATTAAACATAGACTAAAATATTCAGAGACAATGGCAAGATGTATGCAACCTATTTTCAAGTGGTTAGAAAAGAAATATACTTCTTAAAAAAAAAAAAAAAAAAAAAGGCAGGGGCCTCCCCTGATTTGCAGCGATTGAGCGCTGGGCCGGTTCGATACCCGGCCGCTGGCGAAGGTCCCACATGGCGAGCAGACCTCTCCTGTCTCACCCACTGCTCACCTCAGCAGTGTATTTCGTCAGTCTGTCTGTTCTGTTCCCCGCTCTGGCTCTGGCGAATTCTCTCAACCTCCCGCAGTTCTGACTGTACCCAGTGCTTGTACAAATTAAAAAAAAAAAGGCAACGGGGCCTCCCTGGTGATGCAGGGATTAAATATTCAGCACTTTCAAGCTATTGAACTCTTGCCACAAGAGTTCGATCCCCAGTCAGGGAGCTAACCCACATGGCACAGTAAACCTCTCCTGTCTCACCCACCGCTCCCGTAAGCAGTGTATTTCAGTAGATCCACCTGTTCTGCTCCCCACTCTCTCTGGTGAATCTCCCCCTCCCCCACCTCACCCCAGTTCTTGTATGCATAAATAAATAAAATTAATGTTTAAAAAAAAAAGGACAACAGACTTTGCTCTTATTGCTATATTGTCTACTGGACTTATTCATTCAGAGGAAAATCAGTCTCCACACATTACAAACGAGAAAGTTTAATGATATTTGAAACATAAAATTTGTAAAAGAAAACACAGAAGCTGTAATTTGTGTTGTGAAATTTAGTAGCAGATAAAAGGTTATATAATGTGTCTCTTTATATAATAGTTTATTAAAGGTACTTGAAACAAGTTATTAAAATAAAATCACTGTGGGCCTCCCCGGTGGCGCAGCGGTTGAGCACTGGGTTGCGAGGCTGCCCGCGGCCTCTGTGGCGCCGGTTTGATCCCCGGCTGCTCCCCGGCCACCAGAGGAGGGTCCCACATGGCGCGCAGACCTCTCCTGCCGCCCGCTGCTCCCCTCAGCAGTGTACTTCGGTCCTTCTGCCTGCTCTGCTCCCCGCTCTGGCTCTGGTGAATTCTCTCACCCTCCCGCGCTTCTTACTGTACCCAGTGCATGTATAAACAAAACAAGCAAACAAGTAAATAAAAAAATCATAAATAAATAAAAATACATGCCTCTTAAAAAAATAAAAAATAAAAAAAGTTAAAAAAAAAATAAAATAAAATCACTGTTTCTACAGTGATCACTGTTTCAATTGCTTATAGGTTGCCTACATACCTCTTTTACACCCCTCTTGTACCATTCTCCAGAGGAGCTGTACTGCTTCTGTTTCTCTGGTTGTGGTCTCTGGTGTTTTAAAGTAGGTCTTTTTGATGGATCAATATACCATGGCACTGAAGAAATATACTGGGGAATATGAGGGTTGATGTCTCTGTAATTAAAAAAAAAATTAAGAATAGAGTTTGAAAGTAATTCTAATACAGTTACAAAGATAGCACACATTGAATCGAGGAATAGATATTGCAGTGGGAGAAGGATACGCAATATCTATTAGCAAATAGATATTTTTTACTATCTAATAGTAAAAAAGAATTAAAAATAAAGTAACTGACATTAGAGTGAAAAAATTTTCAACAAAGAAAGTAAGAATAATGATATAACTCAAGGAGGAGAGATGAAGGAAGACAAGGGTGTTGATGTTAGTGAGATAAGGCTCTGAGCAAAAAGTTAGCTTCTATGTGCAGAGGTGATTAAAATAATGGTGTAGGTATAAAACAATTTAGACATGTAGATGTAGCAGCTAGAAAAATTCAAAACAGAAAGAGTGGGACATGCAATGGGTGGGGCTGACTGACTTGTTCAATATAGGTCCTTCAATATTACTTTTATTACTAAATTTTACATATGACTTTCATAAAGAATGAAAACAAAAATGATATAAATGGTAAAGACAGCTTCCTGTCAAAGCAAAGGAAGAGAAATGGATAAACAAAGCAGATATGAGTTTGAATTTTAAATGAATGGATCATGAAAACAACGAAAGCACTTACTTTCCTTCTTCATCAACTTCAGCAGGAGCATTGCCCAGTTTTCGCTGTTCTTCTAGCTCCTTCTTCTTTCTCCAGTCCTCTCTAGTCATCTTCTTTGGTTCCTCTAAACTCATTTCTTTGGACCCCGAGAGGGGGGTGGCATTAACCGCATCCACAGCAGCAGCTGCCATGGTGAGGTATCCTCCCCTATGAAGAAGTAATACATATTGGTAAAAGTGAAGTCGTCATGAGTTCATCAGTAAAATCATCAAAAGCACAATCTAACAACACATACTCATCTGTTTCCAAGAGTTCAACAGCTACAATATAACACTGCTGGCTCTATATTTCTCTAATCCAGACTTTTGAGCTCAGCTTCATATACATATATTCCAATTGCTTACTCGACAGCATCTCCTCTTAGGTTTCAGAAATCCCTAAACTCCATAAATCTTATTTCAAACACATGATACTCTCCATGAAATCTAGTCTCCTCCTCCTGCTTCCTCTCTTGATGAAAGGACTTTTAATTAAAGACATCATTTATCCCCATTATCTTGTCACTAAAATGTGTTATTTTCACCATCTGATTATCATTAAAATCCATTTCCTCTCTATTCTCAAAGCTACTATGTTTGTATACGTTATTGCCTTTTCCTACTGACTTTCCTAACTTTGATCTTCAGCACTCAGTGTTTTTTCTTCAAAACACAAACACGACCATGCCCCTCCTCCTCCAACGTAACTATGCCAGTCCCATTAATCATTTAAAGTGGTCCAGAAGTCATCTGAAGAAAGTAAAAATAGGTAAATTACTTTTACGATATTATTTAACCCAAAACAGCCAGCAAACTATCATCTCATCAAGTAATCAATATAAAAAATTCATTAAAAATCTGAATATAAATTTTACCCTCCTTCAACGAGCAATAATTCAAGCGCTCAAGAGTCACAAGTAGCTAACAGCTGTTACAGCGGCCAGCACGGCCCCAAAGGCATTTTAGACTTCATAATCTAAAAACCATGGAAGACGCAATCCTAGTTTGGGCACAAACACCAGCACTGAGGCCTGGGACGGCAGATTCCTTCTCGATCACCAGTCCCTTCTCCAATTGGCGTTCATGACCCCGGTAAGGATTTATCTAAGGATTCCGAGCCTTCAGCTCACTTTTTGAGATTTTCTAGCTTCACTCACTCCCACCCAGCCGTGCATATTCTCGGAATAGTTCCTTACCAACCTCGCCGCAGCCGACCCCCAAAGCAATCGACAGAAACTAAGCCAAACCAGAATGTTTACTTCCGGGTCTTCCGCCCTCTCCCGGCAGCCCCTGCGATAATCTTCCTACGTAGACACATGCGCACTAACTAATCTCTGGGTCTCTGCTAGCGTCAGGACGTTGGTCTCGCGATATCTCGAGCTGTTCTCGTTTCGCTGTCTCCCCAGGGCGGTGGGCTGCGTGACGTTTGAGTAGTTCCTTTGCAGCCCGGGATCCCTGAGCTCTTTTATTATGTAGTTGTTGTTTTCGTAAAGAAAAAATAATCAGTTCTGAGAGACAGACTACCGCTTAAATTTTACTGGAGCACAGTAAAATGACCGGGGATGTTCGTTACGTGTTAAGTTAAAAAAAAAAAAACAATTAACAGTTTCAATCTGTAGCTTGGTTCTGTGCAACTGCTGGGGACCCGGTGAACACAAGACCGGTTTCCTCTAGAATTTACATCTTACGGGATGAGAAAAACTAAACAATTACGCAACTGTCAGTTGTAAAAAGTGACTGAAAACAAAGCCAGGTGCTATGGGAACATGAGACACAATTTGGTAACTGACTCCTCAGCCTGAAGTGCTCTTGTATTTTACTATTGGAAAAAGTACTGTAGGACGATTTCCATTTTGGGAAAGCAGTGTTATCTGTGACTTCCCAATCATCCTTTTTAGGTATAATACCAAATTTTTTTTTTTGGGGGGGAAGAACAGTAACTTTGGTAGGGTTTTTGCGATTCCCCTTCCTCCATGTGCTTGCTATTCGGTTAAAAAAATTTCAAAATGACATTTATTCTTTTCTAATGTAAGGAATGAAGGTAGATAACAGCCTTGCCTCAATAACAGACCTTTGGTTTTTTCTTGTTAAAAATTTGCAGTGCCTAGAGTTTAGGAACATAAATATTAATTTTGATTTTTACAGTGATAGATGAAGAAATAAAAATTGTCAGAGACTAGCCTGAAAGTGAATGAATAACCGACATTTTGTTTTTACCGCCTTAAAATGTAATAATTCCGGAAATTTGCATCGTTATGTTGAGGTTGATTTAATTAAAATCACCAGACACAAGCAGGAGGCAATCATAGAAGTACTAGACAAGAGTGAAGAATGTTATGTAAGGTTTGGGTTCCTCCTGGAGGACTCTGGGGGTCTAGGAAAGCTGGGATCAGTTCTGGGTGGGGTGCCGTTTGTAAAGCAGAAATAGGATAAACTGGGTTTGGGCAGGGATTAGGTGGTGTTCTGAGGTGAGGGTGGTTTTGCAATTGGGTTTCTCCAGTTACAGCTGGGAATAGTAAAGTGAGTCTGGGGCCTCATTAATAAGAACACAGTGTACACTCAAAGTTTGGCTGGTTATGGCATTTTAAAAGCGCTGAATGAGGGCCTCCCCGGTGGCGCAGCGGTTGAGCGCTGGGTTGCGAAGCTGCCCGCGGCCTCTGCGGCGCCGGCTTGATCCCCGGCTGCTCCCCGGCCACCAGAGGAGGGTCCCACATGGCGCGCAGACCTCTGCCGCCCGCTGCTCCCCTCAGCAGTGTACTTCGGTCCTTCTGCCTGCTCTGCTCCCCGCTCTGGCTCTGGTGAGTTTTCTCGCCCTCCCGCGCTTCTGACTGTACCCAGTGCATGTATAAACAAAAAACAAACAAACAAACAAATAAATAAATAAAATAAAAGCGCTGAATGAGTGGAGACTCTGAATTTCCTGCTGTCAGGGGAAGATTCATCCTAAGGAGATGTAAATCTTGCACCTAAAGACTTTAGGAGGTAGAGGATTCCCACTTGGGAGTTGTAGGTGTTGTACAGATTTGGTTTCAAAAGTGAACAGTGTTGTGCGCTGATATAAGATGGAGCAGAGTCATTTAGAAGTGTTAGGGGGAGAGGTATAGGGAGAAAGTAAAGGGAGAGATGGATGGAGTTAAAAGAAAAAGTATAGGGCCTCCCCGGAGGCGCAGCGGTTGAGCACTGGGTTGCAAAGCTGCCCGCAGCCTCTGCAGCGCTGGTTCGATCCCTGGCTGCTCCCCGGCCACCAGAGGAGGGTCTCACATGGCTCGCAGACCTCTCCTGCCGCCCGCTGCTCCCCTCAGCAGTGTACTTCGGTCCTTCTGCCTGCTCTGCTCCCCGTTCTGGCTCTGGTGAATTCTCTCACCCTCCCGCGCTTCTGACTACCCAGTGCTTGTATGTATAAATAAATAAATAAATCTTTAAAAAAAAAAAAAAAAAGAAAAGTATACAGAAGGGGCCATAAAGGCATGCATGGTTTTTTGATTTCTCTCTTTTCTTCACCTTCTTAGGATCTTTTCTTGATGCCTAGCACAGTGTGCAGCACTTAACAAATTCAATAAATATTTGTTGAAACAAACAGGAAATGAAAAACAAAACTCCCAAACAAAAAGAAATTTGTATTGAAAGAATGAACTGTTTATGCAGTTTCAGCCATGAGATGCCAGAGAAGAAGTGGCCAGGATACTGGTGTAATACTGAGAACCAAATCACACCAGGTGTGCTGTTAAACCTTTTGTGAAAGAGTAATGTTAGGGTCAAATCCTCTCTCTCAGTTTATCTGCAGATAAAAATGTAGCTGGTGACCTTTGAGGAGTCCGGTTTGATTGACACAGGTCAACCTTGGTCCTTTGAATGTATTCCTTTATTTTGTATTTGTGCAATGCACTTTTCACTTACTGTAGAAATAAGAAAAGGCCATTAACTTTTTAAAACATTATTTCTTCCCATATCTTGCAATTTGAATTCCTTTTTCTATACCTTTATTATCCCTCTTATCTTCCTCTCTGTTCTCCCTCTACCCTCCCTTGCTAAGCCCTTCCAGAGCTTTGACGAATATACTATTGAGATATTAGAGGTTTAAAATAGGTCCTTATTAAATGATAGCATTTTAAAGGAGACCTAAATTATGTATCCATTAGGATCACTGTTTTGTTCTTTTTTTTTTTTTTTTTAGCAAATGAATTCTTTTTTTTTTTTTTTTTTTTAAAGTGTCAGTCTTTTTTTTTATTTATTTATTTGTTTGTTTTTTTTTTTGTTTATACAAGCACTGGGTACAGTCAGAAGCGCGGGAGGGTGAGAGAATCCACCAGAGCCAGAGCGGGGAGCAGAACAGGCAGAAGGACCGAAGTACACTGCTGAGGGGAGCAGCGGGCGGCAGGAGAGGTCTGCGCGCCATGTGGGACCCTCCTCCGGTGGCCGGGAAGCAGCCGGGGATTGAACTGGCGCCGCAGAGGCCGCGGGCAGCTTCGCAACCCAGCGCTCAACCGCTGCGCCACCGGGGAGGCCCACTGTTTTGTTCTTAAGCCAGATTTCTATGTTTTAATAGTGGGTAGTCTTGCAATAAAGGGATTATTAGTCCTCTTTTAATCACAAGCATAAGACAATGACTCAAACACTGCTGTTTTACATTTCTTCTTAATTTTTAATTGAGCACTTTAGACCTAATATGAGTTGTTTTACCCACCTGACTGTATGTATATATCTCTAATTGACATAAAACTATGATATATCCATTTTCCTTAAAATTTTCCCCCTGCTGCCTTTCCTTCAGTGCGATCCCTCTCTTTTGATTTAATTTGTTCTACTTACTTTGGGACAAATAGCTGACTAATCGTAGACATTAGAAAAACAATTCTGTCACCACCTCGCCTTGACTTTTTGGACTTCACAATCTCCACCTAAGAAAGCCTGATTACCAGAGTATCTCAGGAAAAAAAACCCTCTGTATCTTGATATCATAATAATCACAATAATGATTTGTCGCTTGGATTTAGAGACCATATTCACCCCTCACATAGAGATAACTCTGTGGGGAGAGTTAAAAAACACCTAGAAGTTTAATGAAGGTATCCCAGGAAGGAGTGTTGTGTTTTTTTTTCCCCACAGTAAACAGGCTACAAACTTCCCAGGAAAAGCTTTCGGGGTGGAGCCCGGGGAGCTCTCCCATTGGCTCGTCCCGGGGCTCTAGCCCCGCCCCTTACCCGCCTCCCGAGAGGATGAACCAATAGGAGCGTGAGTTGTGTTTTAAACGCGAGTGCGGCGCGACCTCTGGCGTCCTGCGTGATTCTGGCTGTTGGTGCTTGAGTGGTGAAGCGAGCGGTCGCGGGTGGGTGGCGGGCGGGTCCCGGCGAGGAAGGAGGCTGGGGTCTGGGAGCCGGGGTCGGCGCTGGTGGGATCCCGGGTCTGGTTTTCTGGGGCCTGAAGCTTGAGGGCGGGGTGCTGACTGGTCCTGGCCCCTCCAGGGCCGTCTGTGGCGCAGAGCTGAGGCCTCGGACCTGGTCCGCCGCCCACAGCTGGTCTGTCCTGATGAGCACCAGGTCCTGTGCCACCCCAAACTCTTCTGGAATTCAGAGCGTTTTCCTCAGGTTTCAAGAGTTAAAAGTTGGATTAAGTGTCTGATGGGTTAAGGGCCTGTTGGCACACGACGGGGCTCCTCCCCCTGCTTAGCTCTTTTTGCACAGACGTGGGTGGAGTGGAGTTAGGATTCTTTTACGCCTGTTTCTTCTTGGCTTTCTCCTCGTCTCTAATGTCTATTTTTTTTTTTTTTTTAAAGATTGATTTATTTATGCATACAAGAACTGGGGTACAGGCCAGAGATGGGGGTGTAGTGGTGAGAGGATCCACCAGAGACAGAGTGGGGAACAGACAGGCAGATCGAGTCACACACACTGCTGAGGGGAGCAGCGGGTGAGGCAGGTCTGCTGCGCCATGTGGGTAGCTCCCTGCCCCGGGATCAAACTCGTGCTGCAGAGGCTGCGGAAATCTTCATAGGTTGCGTCTTAACCCCTTGCGCCACCAGGGAGGCCCTCTAATGTCTATTTCACCCCCCTAGCTAATCCAGAATGGCCACTCTCATTTTTGTCGATAAGGAAAATGGAGACTTAGATACCCGTGTGACTTCTAAGGATGGATTGAAGCTGGGATCTGGGCCTGGTAAGTACTGCAATCAGGTATGCAGGTTTGGGGAATTAATAGGGGGCGTGGCCCGGAGCTGGGGGAAGGCATTTCTTGTGTCCTTGCAGCCAAGTTTAATGCTTTGTTATTGCAAAGTGCTTGTACAGTATATTAATGAGATTA